GCGAGTCCTTGCACATCGCCGTCGGCGCGGGCATGGTGTTCGTGCTCACCGGAGAGCGCTGTCCCGGCGCCCGGCCGTGGGAGTATTACGACGATGGCGAGGACGATGACGACCGCGAGTACAAGGTGTTCGTGTTCAAGGACGGTGCGACGCGTCACCACCACAGCTTCTCTCTCGGAGAGTACTCGTTCTCTGACGCGCCGAACCAGCTCGTCTGCCTCGCACGCACTCTGCTGATGACCATGTGCGACAGCGTGCACGTCTTCTCTCTGGAAGGAGAGCCCCTTCGGAAGGTGGTCCCGGCCATCCCGCTCCATCTCGCAGGGACTCCCACCTCGTGCGGCTTCGAGGTGCAGGACATGTTCACCGCCAGCGGGAGGCTCTACCTGAGCGACATGCGAAACCTGCTGGTCTACTCGTGGGACGGGGCGGAGCTCACCCTGCTGCAGAGCGCGAGCGCCAGCGAGGGATTTGCCGCGTTCGATATGTCGATCCCGATGCAGCGCCGCGCGCGCCGCGCGATGCGGCCTTGCGCAGATGAGAGCCACGTATGCTTGCTGTCCGCGCAAGGGGGGATGGAAAACGACGCTTACTCCCTGACCGCCCAGCTGTTTGCGGTGCGCGGAAGCCGCCGCGTGGTCTGACTTGCGTCTGGAGTAAGACACGTACGTGCGCCTCTAACTGCTCGCTTTGGTGCCTTTGGTGGCGATTTTTCCGGATCTTTAGGAATTCCCCTTCGAAAAAAAATTGCTAGCTCAAAAAACCGGCACACCAATCTCCCTTCCTCTCTCTATCCTCTCTTGGAGCTCCAGAGTCCACACCCCCCTGCCCCGGGATCGCGTACAAGCTATGGCTACCGTAGGCCACACTAGCGTCGCTGGGGGTTCCCTGCCCTAGATGGGAAGCTGGCCGCTGATCCGAAGACCGACTGCACCAGGGCGCCTAGATATACTCGAGGTGAGCGAGGGTGAAGTTACGCCTTAAATGCCGGCCTCTCTACTGTGGACCTTACTCCGAGCTCGTTGGCTCCTCCTATTCCCCCACCCCCCCTCCCCCCCCACTCTCTCCGAGCAAGGGCGTGCGCTACGTCCCCAAGGGGGGGGGGACGTGGGGGGGAGGTGTGGCGCTTAGGTTGTGGCGTTTGGGTTGTTGTGGGGCACCCAAACGGTTTCGGTTTTCCTCCTTGGTGCCCCGAGTAGAGCGCGATCTCCCCTGGAGTCTGTCGCGCCCGTTCTGTCTAAGCTCGAGGTTCAACCTTCCAGTTGATCCTTATCGGACTGGTGAGGTCTGCCTAGCCGTCGTAGTGTAGTGCCTGGGGTGCGTCTGCGTCGGTGCTACACACACTCGGCAGGACGCTGCTCAAGGTCGTTGCTGCTGGTCGTCGCTGTTTGTCAAGGTGATAAATAGACTCTCACAGTGACTTCTTTGTGTGGCCAAAAACATGTCCGAGATAAACCCGAACCCGGGCCTTTAGATCGGGGTCGAAGGTGCTACACACACTTGCCCCCTGGTGGTCTGGCACTCGGCGTTATTCCTACTGGGGTTAGGCTGTTTTTCTTTTATTTTCTGAATCTCGGGGGGGAGGGGGGAAGTGGGTTCCGGTGTTTTTTCTTTGCACTATGCACATACGTAAAGTGCAAAGTGCAAAGTGCAAAGTCCAAAGACCAAAGTGCAAGTCGCCCTCGTGTTTTTCTTTTTATGCTTTGGCAGTAAAAAGAACTGTGTGCGGCAGGCGCAGGCTCGGCCGATATCCAATACTTCGACTCACATCTTCGCTGCGGTGTGCCCGGGGAGGCGCGGCGGCGGGGTGGATTGAGAAGGCTCAGAGTGCAGAGAGACTGCAGGCGTGCAGAGGCGCGCGCTGCAGTTTCTCTGATCGGGCTGCTGGCGGTGTGAGCGCGGGGTGGCGTGGTGAGGCGTGAGGCAGGCTATTGTTGTGGAGTGCGGGCTGCATCGTCAGGCGTATGCGTGCACATGGTGCTGTATGCTGTGTGTGCAGGCTGGCAGTCTGTGCAGCAGAGAGCGGAAGCGCGCGCGCGCGCGCGCGCGCGTGCGGGCGTGCGTGCGCGCCTGCGCGGTGCCGGATCTGCGTCTCACTCGCGGCGCGTCCTGGTACAGCCGCTTATGAGATGCCAGGAGCAGTCTGCAGAGCCTGCACAGGGCGCAAAAAGGCGCAGGTGTGCTGGTGAGGTGTGCTGCGGCGCGCGCGTCGCGGCGTGAGTGGATATGCGGCTGCCTCTGGTGGTGCGAGGGGCGCGCAGCTGGTGCGGGCGGCGCGGGACGGCCATGGGGCGCCAGCACAGGGCAGACGCACATGGGCACAGCTCTGAAAGGCGCTGCGCGTGTTTGCGTGCGCGCGGGGACGTACGCGCAGTTTTCACGCGGTGTGCCTGGAGAAGGGCATGAGAGGCGCCGGCCGCGCGTGTATTGGCGTGTGGGAGTTCGGAGTATGCCCGGAGGGCGTGATGGTGCCCGAAGGGCGGTGAACCTTTTCAAAAAGAAAAGGTGGAATTCCCCTTCGATGGTGCGGGGGTACGGGTGTTCCAGGGGGTCACGACACGCACCGACCCTTCACGAGCCGAAAGGCTGTGCCCGGGGAAGGCACAGTAATCCGGCACGTGTTGGGCGCCCCATTCCGTAAAAAATAACGGGGAAAAGGCGGCTAGGTCGGCTCACAGGGCCCCGTCCACTTCCCTCTCCCACTTGGCGCGTGATGGTGTGGGGATGTCGCCCAGGCCAGGGCAGGGGCAGAGGGCGAGGGCGGAGGGCGGGGTGCGCTTCTTAGCTCCCCGGCCGTCGTGGATGGCGAGGCTGCCGACTGCACTTCATAAGCAGCGCACCCAGCGCGCGGGCCGGATACTCGGGACGGGCTGCGATCTACGAGCAAGACAGCCCTGACCCTGCGGGGTGCGCAGGGCCATAACACGCGGGGTCTGAACACGAGGGTTGGCTCCGTGTACCGGGCCACTTGAAAAATCTTTCCGCGGTGTAAAAGAAAGATAGGAAACAGACAACCCAAGGGAGGGATGGGAGGACGGCACGCCGCCACCACACATGGATGTCCGCGTACTTCTTTCCGCGAGCACGTCAATCAAATAGCGGCGCCCGGGGGGGCATAGGTCTTCCCGCTTCCGCATAGGTCTTCGTGCTCGCCAACGCCGCAAAAGTGTTTTTCGCGACCGCCCCATCCTGCAACGGGGTGCATGTCAAATTTTGGCCAGCTCTTTGAGAGACTCTCTTTCTCTTTCTCTTTGGGCCAGCTCTTTGAGATTCTCTCTTTCTCTTTCTCTTTGGGCCAGCTCTTTGAGATTCTCTCTTTCTCTTTTTTCTTTGGGCCAGCTCTTTGAGATTCTCTCTTTCTCTTTTTTCTTGAGAGCGCGCCTTCGTTGTTAATAGTACAAACCCAATGGTCCCTTGCTAGCGGTCCTTCGTTTTTTCTTTGGGCCAGCTCTTTCTCTTTCTCTTTGGGCCAGCTCTTTGAGATTCTCTCTTTCTCTTTCTCTTTGGGCAAGCTCTTTGGGATTCTCTCTTTCTCTTTCTCTTTGGGCCAGCTATGTGAGATTCTCTCTTTCTCTTTCTCTTTGGGCAAGCTCTTTGGGATTCTCTCTTTCTCTTTCTCTTTGGGCCAGCTATGTGAGATTCTCTCTTTCTCTTTCTCTTTGGGCAAGCTCTTTGGGATTCTCTTTGGGCCTGCTTCTTTAGGCCTGCTTTTGACTTGGAGCACTTGGAGTGCAGTTGGTAGCCTCACATCCAGGGCCGGGGAGCTCACATGCTCTTTCTTTCGGCCTGCTCTTGTTGGGCCTGCTCTTTGGGCCTGCTCTTTGGGTACACAGGCCGAGGTGGAGGGGGGGGTGGGGTGCGCGTACACACATGCGCGGAGCGCATACAAGTTGTATTCACAGTGGTATGCTGGTTTTCCTGTGTCCCTGATCGTCCTTACAAGATCCTGCTCGCGCAGGTGGGGACCCTGTCCTTCTCCCACCCCTTGCTTGGTGTGTCCGTTTTATTTATTTATTTATTTATGGGTTTCCTGTCCCCACCCGACGTGTGCAAAGCTGCCCGGCGAGCCATCCTCCTGCGACCAACACTCCGAGGAATCAACCGCTCCGTGCCGGCGGCGCCGAGGATCGCGTCGCGCCGGCGGGGGTGGTGACCGAGCGGGCAGTGGCTCCGCTGGCCGGCGCAGGGTCGCGCCAGCGGGGAGCAGGCGGCATCGACGCTGAACGGTCAGGAAATCCACCCCACCACACTCCCACCACACTGAACGACCACCGGCCAGTGTGGCCGCCGGGCATGACTTTCAGGTGGCAAAGTCGGCCTCAAACTCGTCGCGGTCGCGCTGGCGCGCCACACCGTCCGGTCCGTAGACGTCGAGCCTGGCCTGCGCGCGCTCGAGCCAGCTGAAGAGCGCGGGCTTGCAGCGCGAGTAAGCAAGCGCCAACTCGACCGCCTCGTACCAACGCTGCCTCAGGGTCAGGTTGGCCCTGCGGATCGCCCGTTCTTCGCCCTCTCGCAGCGGGCGCGCGCGCTTGTAGACAGGCCGTGAGGCGCCATGGTGGTGAGGGTGGTCCGCGAGTACATTATACACGCCAGCAGCGCGCTCGCCTCTGGTGCCGCGCAGCCCGACGATGGCCAAGGCGCCCGGCGGGTCTGCGGCGTCGGAGGATGGGAAGATTGCCATCTGCGCGTAGGGCTGCCGCGGGTTGCCGTTTCGAAACGGATCGACGCCCGGAATCGGATAGGCCGACTCCCATTCGCCGTCGCACTCCGTGGGGGCCACGCGGTGCCCGCGGGCGAAGGCGACGTACTGCGTGCAGCCGACCTCATCGGGCGTCACCCACCACCCACGCCAAAACGGCCCGTCGCGGTCGTCCCAGTAGTAGAGGTAGAAGGGCGTCTCAGCCTGGCGGTGGCCTCCCTCCGCCATGATCAGCGCGTCAAGGCTGCGGCGATATAACCAGATCTCCGGATCGCTGAACATTGCGCGCTGCTGGTTGAGCGTCTCGCTCAGCCGATCAAACAGCGCCGGATCCCGCGTCCTCGCGTCCTCGAAGAATGTGCGATACACTGCGAGAGCTGCCTCGGTGTCGTCCAGCTCGGTCAAAGGGGTCGCTCGAGCGACCACGTCACGCAAGCTAAAGAGGGACATGGGCGTCCGGGACACGGCCTCCATCCATCGGAAACAAAAAACCCGACGCTTGTCGAGGAGGGCGAGCGTAGGTGGTGGCGTAGCATGCGCGGCGATCCGCATCCGGGGCATCCGGCATCGCGAGTGCACACGCATAATGTACAACACATTCTCCGCTCTCTCTTTTTATATGTGAGGAAAAGAAGCCACACAAGATAAGCCCCGCGCCGGCAAGTAACAGGCGCCGCCGAGGCCATCGACCATCGGCATGCCGCCGCACACTTTTTCAAACCCTAGATGAGATAGCGAAGGAAGGGAAAAAGGTGGGTCGGGGGGACTGAGCCCAAGCAGGCGCTGCGCGTATACCTAGGGCCGGGCGTTATGTACCCCAAGGAATGGTGAGAGTGATAGCGAGAGGCGCATCCTCGGCTACAACTGTTGGGCCAGCGCCGGCTTGAGCGTCGACCGTGCCGTCGTCGAGTCGAAGCTCGAGGGTCCCTCCACTCAGGCCGCTGTCACAAGCGTAGAAAGCGAGCTGCAATGTCAAGCAGTCTCCTCCGCCCTCTTCGTGGACAGCCTCCTCCGCATCACCAGGCTTCTCTCTGGGCCTCTCCCCGTGCTCGGCGCTGCCTGTGCGCATCGTGCTCACTGGCGGTGACCTTTGGGGGATCACTTCGAAGGTGGAAGCGGTGCGCAGAGCGGAGGCATCGACACCTTCCCATCCGTGCCTTGCCTGCTTTAGACGGGTAGCGCGCTCGAACGAGGGAAGCGCATCCCAAGCAGAGGTCGACAAGCGTTCCGCCGCATAGCACCGACCAGCACACCGAGAAACCATCGCCAATCTGGTTGGCGGAGGGAATGGCATCTGCGCGGGCGTGCTCGTCCTCACGGTGTGTGGCTCCCCCGAGCCTGGCGGCGCAGCCCAGGCCGCGGAAGCACATTCGATTGAGCAAGAGAAGCGCAGCTCCGGCCGGAGTGCCGTGACGCCGTGCCTCACCGTCATGATGGAGCGCCCGGTCAACTCAAAGGCGCCGCTCCCAGAGACGAAACGCCAACTCGGGCGCACAAAGGGTCTGGGAGGCTGCGGACAATCAGAGCTCCCTGGGCCATTCGCGCTGGCAAGAGTAGAAGCTGCATCCCCTAGCACGTCGTCCTCGCCACCTTGTGCCGCCGATGCCGTCGCCCAGCGTGCCTTTCGCTCTTCCGCTCGCCGAGCAGTTCTGTCTCTCTGATGCACTCGCGCCAGCTCCGAAGGTAGCATGCCGAGCTCTGCTGCGCGCTCCTGCAGCATCCGCTTCCCCGCGCCGCCACGGGGCCTTCGTCGATTAGCCGCATCTTGCGCGTCCGTCGACTGGTTCGACGGTTCGCCTTGCATGTCCGGCTGACCAACGATCGCAACCATGCGCTCGATGCAGCTCACCCCGACGTACCGCTGCTCACCCCGGTACCGCCGGTCGATGATTCACAGCCTTGTTATTGAGAAGAAAATACCTCCTATGGCGCTGTGCGTTCACAGCCTTGTTATTGAGAAAATACGTCGTGCTGCTGCTGCTGCTGTTACGTCTTCGGTCCCCGCGGGAAGCCCCGCGCATAGGACAACAACGTCTGTCCCACACACACACAGACGCGCACATACATCATGCTCGGGCACACCCCACGTTGTAGTGGTGTGAGTACACAAGTACTAGCAGAGTGCACACCTACCTTGGCGGGTGAGGGTCGTAAGAATCAAAGCCTCTTGGTGCCAAACGTGCTCGAGCGCGCCGAAGAGAGACGATCTACGCTGAGGGAGTTAGCGAAAGTCGCACGGGCAGAGGGGAGACCGAGGCCTCCGGCAGTCCGCACCGCCTCGCGAAAGGGAAGCAACGATCAACTCCAGATTGGACTTGGGTGCGCCGAGCGCCGGCGCGTAGGTCGCGACCGACGCGCAGCGCGGGCACGTCGCGAGCACAGGAGCGCCGCGGTGCCGTGCCACTAACCTGGTTGTGCCGGGCAGGGCAGTGCTTGAACGACCACATCGCTGGCGCGGTGAGCACCGGATTGCCGCGACAGCGCGGTGGCGGGCGAGCGCCGCCAGCGCGGGCGAGCGCCGCCAGCGCGGGCGAGCGCCGCCTGTCTGTCTGTCTGCGTCTCGGTGACAACCGGTGGTGTGGTGTGAGGTGCCGTGGGCCCCAGTGACAGTGCAAATCAAAACAGACTCTAATTTTGTAATGTGAGCGCGGGCACACCCGCGTCCATGCGCTGCGGCAGCGTGCAGGCCCAGCAGGCGCGGCGGGCGGCGGGCGGCGCGGCCCCGCGCGTATCCGCCGCCTGTCCGCGGCGGCAGCGGCCCACTCTCGCTTACGTTCACGAATGAAAGCGCTCGCACTGCGTGTGAAGGTGGCGACGTGCGTGTGGCACGAGGCTCACTTCTGGCGCGAGACTCACTAGGCGGTGAGATCGATGGTGGCCTCAGGTGGGCTGTCACCCGCGGGGTCGGCCTGCTGCTCGTCGTCGTCGCCTTCGCGATACGAGCCGGAGAACGATCGCTGGCGCTTGGAGCTCATCACCACGTCGCTCTCTGGCGGCGAGGGCTTCAGAGTCGAATGCTGGTGGCGCTCGAACATGCGGGCAAAGGCGAGGTAGCGGGTGGCGTCTTCCTCGGCAGAGTCTCGGTAGTAGGCGTCATACACCGCGGCCACGTTCTCCGGAGCGAGTACCTCCTTGAGGAGCTTGATCTTCTGATCCTGAGAGAGAGGCGACGAAAGCTCCGAGTGCGACACCTCGAGGCCACCGCCACTGACCAACACGAACTGCTTTTGGCCCGGCGTCGAGGAGAAACGCTCGCACGCGAGGCGGCCGCCGACAATGGCCACCTTTGCTACGAACTTCGCGGAGCCAACGCGGATGAGGAACTTGGGAGAGATTACCATCGTCTAGCCGCAGGGAAAGCGGCTGGGAGCGTCCGTGCAGTCGGAACACTGGGTGTTACGATTTTTGTTCCGAAGGGGTACACGCTGTTCCGAAGGGGGTACAGACTGCTTCAGGGAAAATCAGCAATCACGCGTTACGGTTGCTTGTCCAAATCGTTGAACGGGCGTGAAAACTAAGGGGAATTTCTCCCTTCCAAAGTTTTTCCCGCGGCCCCAATTCATGGGCGGCGACTGTGACTGAAATCAAACGAGACGTTCGGCGGCGGCTTCTCGCCCACCGCCGTTCTCAAGCTGCACGCAAAGTCGCGCGCGGCAGCGTTGACCGCACGGCCTACTCCTCTCGCCCAAGTACTCGCTCTCTTTTATGTCCCACCATGCAGAGCGCATCTCTCTCTCTGTTGTGCGAGGCGTGAACCGACCGCGCCATTCGCTCTCACCTGGCAACCCTGTCTGCACGTCTCGCGCGCGCGTGAACAGGGCTCCAGGCCCCAAATTACGTGTGAGTGTTAGAGTTGTTTGGTATTGAAAAATCTCTCTCTCTCTCTGAAATCAGACAGATGCGAGAGATAGCGTCATAGGACGTCTTTATCTTCTGTCAGGAGGCACTGGGTGGGTCCCCGGAGGGCGATCCTCAAGGCCTTCCCAGTTGTACTGGGTCCGTCTCGCCGCCTGCTCGCTCTGCACATGGCGTCGATCAAGTGCCGCTGTGGCGCGGTGTCGGTCGCATTTGCCTGCGAAAAGCCCATCCACCAGCTCGAGTGCTGCTGCGTCGACTGCTACAGCAAGAACGTCTGGGCGTACAAAAAGGCCAGCGCTCCGCTGCCGAGCGGCGTGACGGGCGTCCACGGTGAGGGCAAGCCGCTCGACCTGCGCTACTGGCCAAATAAGCTCGCCGTGACGGGCAAGGAAAAGCTCGCCTTCAACAGACTCCGCGACGACGCGGCCTCCATCAGCATGGTGACGACGTGCTGCAGCACTCTTCTCTGTGTCGATCACCCTTTCTACCAGACGAATGCTGTGCTGACGTTCCCTGAGTTCTGCCCATACATTGGGGCGGGCGAGCTGCCAGAGATCAGCACGCGCGCCTTCATCAAGGATTGGCCCGTGGAAAAGTATGCAGAGCTTCCGCCCAAGCCCGGCTTCTACTTGACTGCGGACGGTCCAGCATTTGAGCCACCCGGTCCGGAGACGGAGGCGGCATGCGCCCCCACGTTCACCGCCTTTGCCAACCCCCACATTTCCGCCGATGCGCCCGGCGAGACCTTCCAGGAGTTGCTGGCCGCGGCGGGCGGAAGTGTGGAGAGCCTCGGCCTGCCTGAAGGCGCCAACAGCAACCAGCTCAAGGCCAAGGCGGCGCTAGACTGCGGCCCGCCGGGCAGTCTCGCCACCGAGGCGAGTTGAGGCACGTACTCCATAGACGTGAGACGAGTGAGGATACAACATGCACATGCAGTACACATTGATTCGTGTTGTGTGCAAAAGAGGTGATATGTGTGTGAAGTGACAAGTGTGTCACTTGACACAATGACACTGTGATCTACATAAGGTAAGGTAAGGTAACGTAAACGTCTCCACACACACAAAGTGGTGGGGCAAGGGGGGGCGACCCTCGCATCTCCACGCCCGGACACGGGCAGGAGCCCCACGGCATTCAAAAAGTGCACAAGCACCGGCCCGGTGCCGTGGGTGAGGCGTGAGCAACCTGCACCCCACTCCCTCCCTCCCAGACACAGGACCCACACACAACCCCCACAGCGTGGACGACTACGTGTTCAGAAACACCAAGCAGCGAGGCGAGGGTGAAGGGGTAAGGGGCTGTGTGGGGCAGAATCTACACTGTGATATTGTTTTTCATGGTGTGTTCGTCGCCCTTGTTTGTTGTGCCCTTGTTTGTTTCTCTTGGCACCTTGGAGTGCTGGGGGGGGCGACAGGAAGAATGTGGCCCTGAGTTATGTGTACGCCAACTCAGGGTGTGTGGCAGCCAGCTGGCTGTGTGTCTTGTGAGCCTGTTTGTGTCTGTGTGTCGCTCGTGCGTGTCGTCATCATCTGTCTTGCGTCCACCCATACCGCGTTGGTTGGTGTCCAGTCCGAGCCTGGCTGTTCTTCACCTTTCTACCTACCTACCTGGCGCTTTGCGCTGGTCTATGAGAGGTTGAGGTGCGAGCCCTGGAGGCCCTATGTATGTATGTAGAAAGGCCCTGGGGATGGGGGGAGACTACCCGCGGGCCTAGAAGGCCCGCGCGCAGGGGGGTGGGACATTGAGATTGAACATTCTTCTGTTCAGCGTGTGGACCACTTGTCCGATCTCTCTCTCTCTCTCTCTCTCTCTCTCTCTCTCTCTCTCTCTCGGGGTTTTGACCGCGCAAGATAAAAGGGTGGCTAAGGGCTCTGCCCGCAAGGCGCCCGCGTCGCAGACGCGGTACCATTGACAAATCTGCGATATACCCCCACACGAGCAAATAGCAAAATCCGAATACCGTGCACAAACTGCGTGATCTGGGACCCAAGCCATCAGCTGGTGCCAACATGCGTAAACCAAGAACGTCCGCCGAATCCGTGCTTTCGGACGGAGCAACTGGGGGGGAGCCGCTCGCGCGCATGCATGCATGTTGCTCGCGCGGCCACGGCCGCAACGACGCGTCGCCGGCGGCGCTCACTCGAGCCCGAGCCCTCCGCGACGGCAACGCCAGGTCGTCGCGTCCGCCCCGCCAGCCCTTGAGCACGCCTCCCGCATACCGATGACTGCACTCGGCGTCCACCGGCGGGGGACCATGGAGGAGCGGTCAGCAGTCTCGACTGCTCCACCGGCTCCTCCACAGGCTCTCGCCGTCGGCCCCGGCGCGCTGCGACGGCGCGCCGCCGGCTCCCACCGCGGCGTCCGAGCTGGAGGGAAAGGTGACGCACCTGATGGAGCTGCTCAAGGCGCATCAGTCGCGGGACGCGGAGGCGTCGCGGCTGCAGCAAGCGCTGCAGTGCCAGGAGGAGGCGGACGCCGCCAAGCTCGTCGAGCTGATGCGACGGCAGGAGGCGGCGAGCGCGGCGGCGGTCGAGGAGGCCAAGGCTGCGATCGAGGCGCAGCTGGTCGAGCGATTCCGCGAGGAGCAGGCGGCGGCGGCGGAGGCGCACTCAGCGCAGCTGCAGCAGCTGAGCGCGGAGCACTCGACGCAGCTGCAGCAGGCAGCGGCCCTCCTGGAGGCGCAGGCGCGCGAGAAGTTTGAGACGGCGGTCGCGCACGAGAGGGTGATTGGAGCAGGCGGTGCTCGCAGAGAGGCTGGTGAGCGGAACCTCTCCCCTCCCGCCTCCCCGCCCGCCTTCCCTCCCGCCTCCCGCCTCGACTCCCCTGCCTCACTCCTCCCGACCCATCCCTCACTCCTCATAAGTTTACACAACCGGTT